TTACTTTATTGCTCAAAACTTCATAAATTTTTTTCTGAGACTGCTTCTCCTTATCTCTCCACTCCTAGACTGGAAGTATAACAGCCACTTATCAGAATAATCACTTTGCTGCTTAGCATGGAGATGCTGACCTTCTCTCTTTCCTACCTGGTGCAATTTCTGCGTCTGTTGCCAGTGTGGTGGCGCTCTAATCACTGGGGCTCATCATATTGGTGCTGAACGTAGTGTAGACATCTGATAGGCTTCAGTCCTACTGCAGCTGAGAACTCTCAAACTTCAGTAATCCATAGCTTTAGACTCTCCAGAAGCAAAGATTACAGGTGTGTACCACCATGCCCAGCAAGACTTAAAAATCATTATCAATGCTTATTAGGTTAATTCTAGCGGTATCATTTGTGCCCAAATTAATCACCTAAAGTGGAGAATATTCATCCTAACAAGTCTTAGGAGGTTTTCTATCATATCTTGGAAACAGAATACTCCTTTTTGAGAACTTTACTCTAATTAGGCTACTTTTCACAGGAGAGCCACTAAATAGCAGGGGTACCTTTACTTTCACTCATTCAATTAAGTGCCACATTGTTTTGAAAACCAATATAAAAGAAAATTATAGCAACCTGAAGCCTCCAAAGGTCCCATAGTGGGTTTTTCCAAGTGTCATATACTCTGCCCAAGGAAAGGATCTTATAGCAGGGACCTCCATTGTGCCACACCCAGAGTTCTGTATTTTCCTCTTCTGGGGGGATTGGTGCATTGGCGTACTTTTCGTTCTTCACGCTCCCACTCCCAGGATGCTATGGAGATTAGTTGTTATGTATTTCTCTTCTTTTGCCAGCCTTTACACATTCCCAATTATGCAAACACGTAAAGTATTTAAGAATAATTTTTCAGGCTTTCATTGTAAGTCCCTAATGGACAAAACTTATACATTTCTTTCAAAAAAAGATAAGTGGCAATTGATGTTAACAGTTTCTGTACCACTCCCAGATCTTAAATAATATCTTTTTCATGTCTAGATACAAAAGTAATTTTTGAATTGACATTGGACTCTTCCCTGAAACCTTGTCAGTCATTTGCTTTTCTAAGAGAGGCAAGTATCTTTTTTTCCTGATTAGATGTCTTGATTATCTCAGTGAACAATCAAATCAAACAGAACATTAGAATAGTCACAAAAAGGAAAGCAAGTAAAACTGTGATTCACTCATTTTAAAGAGAAATGCTATAGCAACTGATAAATGAGAACAAAAAAAAGAACAAAAACTAAATATTGAGGCTGTCTCATCACTTTTACACTGCGTACTTTGTAATTTCTGCTACCATTGCATATCTTGTTTTGTTTCTGCATGAATAGTTATGATTACCCTTTAAAACTGCATGTGAGCCAATTATTCAGTCAATGGGTGTATGTATAGCCTTTACAGCTCATACTAGATTAGGATCTGAAGCAAGGGGATATTCTAAAGATGACATCTAGCGGTTGCCGTGGTAACTGAATAGACTAAATCTCAGTAATCTTTTGCATCGGTTTCTAGAATTGAAGCTGGCATTTTCCTGGTTTAAACATGTGAGAGAGAGGCAATCAGAGCTGTTATTTAACCCTTATGGGTTATATTTGATATTTCTGATCAGCTCTATTCTGTATATGTTGGGGGATTGTTTTTAAAGGAGTAAATGAATCTAAAAACCAATATTGAAAATCTCACACTGAATTAGAATGGGGCACTCTAGGTGACTGCCCATGAAGCAAGCTTTTATTAAATGTATTGAGAAGCAGATTGTTATAGTGGAAGTGTTCTGGACTTGAAGAGTATAAGAGACCTGTGTTTGAATTCTAGCTCTGATGACATAGCTATGTGACCATAAGTAAGTCACTTCTCTGAATCTCCATTTCTTCTTTTATAAAATGGGGACAATGAGACGATATCAACACTGCCTACCTTTTATAAGATTGTTGAGATAAAACATGAGATATTAGTATCATTCTATGCTTGGCCCTTTGAGGGAAGTACATAGCAAAAATGTATGTTGACTTAATTAAGAATCAACCAAGGAGGTTTAGCTGGCTTTAGTCAACAACATTTATTAAATATCCACTTTGTATAGAGTTACTTGGTATCATGAGATATTATAAAAGTATGTTTTATAAAACTGATGTTAGAATATGGTAGTAAGTTTAAAGGATAATTGTGCTATGCCATTTTTCCCAGAGTAATTCTTATATTTTGATAGATGTAATTTTATGGCTTTTTTTATTCTATGTGATAATGACAATTTTTTATAATGTTAGCTGGCCTATACCTTTGGGGATTTAACTTTTTAGTGGAGAATGCAATTCAATTCAACAAATATTTACTGAGCAACTACTATACGCATACTAAGGTTGCAAAGACAGAAATGGACAACAATCAGTCAGTCTGTGACCTGAAGGATCTTATATCTGATTCCAAGTCACCTCTAAAATGCTGCTGCCAATGATGACTGCCTATGTGGCTCACTGAGGAAGATAAATCTTCTCTCAAGTACAATACATTAAAGTCTTATATGGGAGAAAGAGCTTGGTGCTTTTCTGAGTGTAAGGGGTGGGGTGGAGAGTATTTTGGGCCTTTTCCCAGTGAACTGACATTCTGACATAGCTTGAATCATCTGTTTGGCCTTGTGGACTAATTCAGACAGTAGACTATGGATGAAGGACTAAGAAAGATGACATCAAACACAGTACTGGCAAAGACTTTGAAGGTGTAACACAGGACCTGGAATGACAAAATGGCAACTGGATTTGTACTTATCCCTTTGCTCCTGTCAGCATTGGATTTTAACCATCCAGCAATGAATGCCATATGGACATCTGCCTCCAGAATCACTTTAGCTGTGCTCTGTTTCAGTGTTGGGGCAGCAGGAACAGATGGAAGCACAATGAGGATTCAGATATGGGAACGAGTGAGGTTTTCTGGGAGCCTGGAAGTAGCTTCCTGCTGTCCTGTTTGGTCATGTAGCTGTGATCAAGAGAATCAATGAAAGCTTCAACAGTGCTCTCAAATCTTGATGTGGGCAATCATTCATCAGTTAACTGCACAGTAGCTCAATCATTGATCTTTGCATAGTGTCTGACAGATGAAAGATGAAATCCTGACTAACTAAAGGAGTTTCTGCCTTTGGGAGGGGTTAAGTCAAGCGATCAAACAACATATACAATATGTTAATGTAAGTAATATTTCTGTTTTTATTGCCCTCTTACATGAGCCAAATGAATTGCTCACTAAGATAATGATCCTAATATATAAAGAGAAGCTATTTATTGATATCGTGTTGGGAAGGCAAAGAAGGGACAGCAAATTGGATGGGACTTAAGCCAGAGTTTGAATAAATCATATTCTTAAATGAGATGTAAGAATCTAGGAAAATAATCATGGGGACTTGAATGATGTGATCCTTAACACTGAATGGGATCAGGCAATGGTCACCAGCACTCTTACCCATTTCATGCGCACATTGTGCTTTGTCACTTCTGGAAAGCATGAAAAATCAGGGGTGAGAGTATGCGCAAATATGGAATCCTTAATTCCATCCCTCAGGCATTTCATGGTTACTGAAAGGGCTATTGGATTTTTTGGCAGATGGGGTGATAGTGTATGAGTGGAAGAAGAAGAGAATCTGTCCACTTCTAGACATGTGGAGATTTCTCTCTTGGGAGAGGATTTCATTTTCAGATATCTGAGGGAGAAAGGACATCTAGATTGATTGACTGAAGACCATAGGCTAAAGGCTACATAGGAAAACATAAAGAACACTGAATATGTTGAGTTATTATGTTAAATTGTGCTTATTTGTTAGAAGGAAGGTGAATGGGAATGGTAGGTTGGGATAGAAATGTGGAAAAAAGAAAAAAAGAGGTGTCAATGACATGTTAAAAATAAACAGAAGAGGACAGACATAGATGAGCAGTAGGGCAATTCTGTCACTGTCATGTTAAATTTAACATGTACTTTAAAACTAGATAACAGGAGTTTCCAGTTTAATGTACAGTTTTTTTTGTTCTTTTTTGGTTCTTTTGTTCTGTCATGTTTCTTGATTTTTGTTAAGTTTATAATGAAAAAGAGATGTTTAAAACTAGATTTTTTAAAAAAAGAGCATGGAGACCTGGAATCTAGAAGCCACAGTTTTAATCATGCCTCTGATATTTATTAGTTATGTGCTCATGGAAAAGTCACTTAACTCTTCAGTGCCTCAGTGTTTTCATCTGTAAAATAGGAATAATAATAATTGTACTAGGTACCCAGTAGGCTTCTTCTGAAGAACACATTTCCTCATACAAAGTTTAAAGTGTTACACAAATATGAGCTGTTATTATCTTAGACTTTAGAGACTATGTAATACAATTCCTTCATTATGAAAATGAAATTACACTCAAGAGGTGTAGTAATTTCTATTTATGTAGATATTAAGTAGCATATCTTGGTTTTGAACCCAAGTCCTCTGGCTGCAAATCTACTGCCTTATGTCTCATCATCTGTAAACCCAAAATGGCTAAGGTTTTCTTGAAGGCAGAGTGGTACGGTTTTGCTTCCTGGACAAGCTTAGATGAGACCAGAGACTGTCAGAAGTCTGGTCCAAGTGGAATGAATGTCTGACCCTTTGTTGTACCTAGAGATACATAGCATGGACAACTGAGTTGCCTATTCCAAACAGGGAAAAGTCTGGCTTTTCCCTCTGGAGAAGAGAAAAACAAAACAAGACAAAACAAAACAAACAAACAAACAAACAAACAAAAAAAACCTCTCCATTTTGTCCATAGAGAAAGTGACCGTATCTGAGAACAATGCTAGAAGCCACCTGCTGGGAACAACGGGGAAGCTGAAGGAGAGACAAACACCTGATGCTGCCCTCCAGGAGTGATGCCGAGCTAACCTTGGAGCCACACAGAGAGCAATGAATGATGCCACCTGCTGGGAACTCTGCAGAACTGCCAGGAGGAGTCCTACAGCGAGCAATGCCCACCCAGCATGACCTGCTGGGAGCTGAGTGGGACAGCCACACACGAGCTTGAAGCCACAGCCGAAGGAAGCTGCCTGTTCGTGACTGTCAGGGCTTCAGATTTCATGTAAGCTGTGGGGAGGAGCTCACTCTTCCCTGCAGGGTGGCTGCTGTTTTCCAAGGGATTTGTTGTGAGTTCGACTTTCCTCCTTTAATTTTCTGAATTGCTGTCTTGCAAGTGGAAAGTCAGTCTTGGCCTTAATCTACCAGGAGCAGGAGATAGCATGGAGAGATTTCTGCCAGGTTTCTGGGCCAGGGTCTGTGGGTTAAGAGAGTAAGAAAATACCTGACAGTATATTTGGGCCATTAGGATCATAGGGCAGTCTCTGACACAAGGGTCACATTCCTATCTCCAAACAGTTTCTCAAGGGCAGATATTATGTTGTATGCTTCTTTTATATCTTCCACAGGGACTAAAACATTTCCTGACATATAATAGATTCTCAGTATAACTCCCCTCAAGTGTGACTTTCATTGAAGCCTTTCCTGATTTTGTTCCCCAAGCCCCTCAGATGCTATGACTGGTGCTCCAAAATCACCTTTTATTTATATTTGGTATATACTAATATATGTACAAGTTCTCATAATGGAATGCAAACTCCTTGATGGCATGAGCTGTTTTTCATTTTTGTCTTTTTATTCCCAGTGCTTATCACAGTGCCTGGCACATGGTAGGCATTTAATAAATGCTTATTGATTATTAAATATCATGTTCAAAAATTTGGTAGATATTCATTAGGTGTTTACTCTGTGAAAAAAACTATACTGGGAATATAAAGATAATTTTAAAATATATCCTGCTTTCAAGGAGGGTACCATCGAATGGGGATAAAGGCACATAGACAAATAACTATGATACAATAGAGAGTGAGGTAAATGCAAGGTGAATGGTTAGCCAAAGTTCTATGAGAAATCTAGAGAAGAAGAAGTTATTTTTACCTGGAGATGTGGGGTAGTTATTAGAGAAATAGCCATGGAGATCTAAGGCCTGGAAGAAAGGGAAAACTCCATGAGATGGAAGAACACCAAAAGAAGCAGATGAGGAGAGGAAGTTCAAATCCTTCCTAGGCATGGGGAACAGTATGATCAAGGGATTGTCTATGGGAGAGAAAAATACAAAAATAAGAGATGAAGGGAAGAACAACTTGGCTGGGCCACAGAGTATGTAAAGGGATATAGTATAGAATTAGACTGGAATGATAGATTTGAGTCAGATTCTTGAGGGCCTTGAATTTCAAAGTCATTTTATATTTTATCCAATAGGTAATGGGAAACCACTAGATGATAGTGAGTAAAGAAGGCTATCATCAGAACTATGCATTAGGAAAGTTATTCAGAAAGTGATATAAAGGATAGACTAGTCTATGAGTCACTAATCTTCAGGTGGAAAGATCAGTTAGTAGGTTATTACCATAGTCTAGGTAAGAAAAATACATGAGTCTGAATGAGATAGTTAGGGTATAAATAGAGAAGAGAAGATGATTTAGCAAGCCATCTCAGATAAAGAGTTAACATGATTTGGAAATTGGGTGAATGTGTGTAGTGAGGGAAAAGTAAGAGCCAACTGTGACTCAGAAGTTATGAGCCTGGGTGATTTGGAGGCTAGTGATGCTGTCATCAGAAAAGGGAAAATTAGGTGCACGTACAGGATTTTGGAAGAAGTTGATGGTTTCAGTTTGGAACATAATGAGTTTGAGGTACCAGTAGGATCTTCACCAAGGTGAAGATATCTAGCAACAAATTGGAAATACAAGACTGGATTTCTGGTATCAGGTTGAGGGTTAGCATATAGATTTAGGAGGCATTGAAGTAAGTCAGGGAACCTGGATTTAACTAACAAAGATAATTACTATTAAATTGGAGGGCTTGTTGATGAAAAACCTTGCTCTTACACTAAAGAGGAAAAGGTAGCAAGGAGTTGTCCACTGCTTCAAATGCCACAGATAGGTCAGGAAGAACAAAGACCAAAGGCCATTGGATTGCTTGTTAAGGAGGCAATGGTGCTGATGTTGAAGATAATTGTTTAAAAAATGAGGGGAATGGAAACCAGCTAGGAGATGAGGAGTGAATAGTTGATGAGAAAATAGAGACAGTCAGGATAGAGTACACTTTCTACAAGTTTGACACCGAAGGAAAAAAAAAGATTATTTGAAGGGATGGCAGCAGGGAATTGAAAGTAAGAATAATGAAGGTCTGAGCATGTTCATTAACTGAGAGGCTACAGACAATAGAATGAGAGAGTTTGAAGATGCTTGAAAGAAGGAGATGATAGGTCACAAAGTGACTGGAGGAGATAGGATTTGTATTAGAGGTAGAGGAATTAGTTTTGGACTAATGTAAACCTACATGAATGTAAGCCTACTAATGTAAGCCTACATCAAATCTGTCCTTCTTTGGACAAGAAGGAAGGTCATCTAGCAGGAAGGATGAAAAGACAGTTGAGGACAGTGAAAGGCTTGTTGAGGGAGCTCATGTCAGATGGCTTCAATATTCTTAGGCGGTGGCATTGTGTAACATGTACCAAAGGCCAAGAACATGAACATCTGACTGAAGTTAAAGGATAGTGTTGAACACATTTAGTTACCTGGCTTACTTCTCCATTAGTCTTTGCTTTATCCATCTTCCTTTCCCTTTCCCTTTCTCTTTTCTCTAATGTAACATGAAAATGAGTATGCTGTTGGTGTTAGCTGAAAATTAACTCCATTATTTATCTACCAAGCCCAATTTTTATGAGATTTTAGATGTCACTAAGTAAAAGGATAGTACCCATATACAGTCTATTGACTTCCCTTTCCTCAGTGTAGAATTATTAACAACAGCCGTAGAGCCATGAATCAGAACTGGTTTGTAAATCGTGGTAGTTTTTATAATATCTTTATTAACAGACTGGTGCTTTAGGGGAAAAATAAATTCCAAAGCGGAAGGTCATGTAGCTTAATCCTTATTTTGTGTTAGGAGTGCTAATGATTAGTTTTGCTCTTCTATAGCACTGCCCTATCATTTCCATTGGGGTAAAAAATATGTTTTTGAAGTCGATAAAAATGATTTGCTTCTCTATTGCTCTTGCAGGCAGCATTTTGGCTGATTTAGCTCTCTATGACCCTGAATTATTCCTCTCCAAATCATTTAATAAAAATAACAGCAATTTACTGGTAATCCTCCTCAGAAGAGGCTGCTCAGTGAAGCCCTAATAACAAAATTTAGTATGCAATGGTATAAGAATGTGAGATAATGTAACCTAACATGAAGTACCTAGACATAATTCACCTTTTTTTTTCTGGCTAAGATTGTCAATGGCTGACTTTAGCTATGTTTGAAGTAAGTATTCTAAAAGGTAAAAACAAAAATTCAAGCCATTGGGTTGATTTGTTTTCTTCCAAACATTCTTAATAGCTTCAGTTTCTGAGACTTACTTCTTGAAGAAAGGAACATTGCACTTGATAACATTATGCTCATAAGTCTCCAGAATGTTCAGCTGAGAAATGAAAGTATATTTAATGGTATAGATATCTGTTCTGAACTATACTCAAATGGTTTCTGGTCTAAGGAGAAATAAGTTTCAAGGTCCTGTAAAAGTTCATACATACTTTTACACTTGGACACCATTTTCTAGACATTTTTAATATTAAATTTCCTGTGGTTTAATTTGTTCTAAAAGCATGGACACAGATTCATGTAACAGGAAAGGTGGACCTTAGAAATATTCAGTAGTCTGCTCCATTCTAGTTAACTATATTCTATATACCTGAAGAGTCCAATATGTACTGTAATTGACCTAAAAATGTGTACATATACTGAAGTATGGTAAGAGGCTCACACATTGGTATTCTACACTTTACAAAAGTATGGAGGCCTTCTGTTTAAATGTTCTCAGAGTTTAAATCCTGTTTTATGGACTTGATTTCTCCACAATTTGTTGAAAATTAGTGTATCATGTGTTTTTGTTTCAAAGACAAAAGTGAACTCTGTAGGGAGGCAAGTTGTTCTTGGCTTCCTGAAAACACCAAAATGTCTTTTTACCAAACTGAACAGGAGGCACAAATTGCTGCTTCGTTTGCTGTCTTTTCCTTTTTTTGTTTGTTTTGTTTTACATTTGACTCCAGCAGAGATCAAAACTACACTTTATGGACTTACAGCTTGGAAATATGCTGGCAAATGTGAAAAGAAGCAATAGAAAGCAAATTTCTGCCACAGAGCTTTTAATATAAAGACAAATTTTTATCTAACAGAGCCAACAGAATGAAACACAAATGTACCAGCAGCAGCTCAGGGCTGTAAACACAGCATCCTGATGACAGGTCCCTAGAGGGGACAGATCATACAGTTCTATATCATCTGGCTTTGTCTTTCAACTGACACAATACTGATGTTAGCCTCAGAAAATGTTCTTTCTTAAAACTCCAGATATGCTTTATTCATAAGGCAATATTTTAAAGAGGTGATTATTTGCTGTGAAATGCTGATAACCCTAATAATGAATACCAATAGCAGTGTAGCAAACTCCCTATAGTAATTGATGCCAAATATTGGGAGAAAAAATGGAAAAAAAGGGAGTATTTTCCTAAATGCAGCTTGTTTTCTTATATGAAATCCACATTTGGCACTGTGCAGGTCAAATTTTGATTAAGTGCAAATTTCAATTTTCATCCAAATTTTGTTACAACTTGGAGAAACAACTGTAGATCATTCTTTACTTTCATTATGAGGATGGGCTACTGTCATCATAAACCTATTTAACAATTCTATGGAAAACAATAGTCAGTTTCATTAAGCTTCTTTAGGGTGTGGGTGGTGGGTTGTGGGTGGTGGGAATAAAGAGTTCATGGAGAGGAAGCATATCAGTGAATATTTATTGTGCCTATGTGGAGTGGTCTTCTAATTTTGCATGATTCTTTATACTTTCTAGCTTAGGGACCACAGGGAATAAAGGAAGAGAGAAACTAGAGTATCTTTTGGGCTCAGGCAGTACTATACCTAGAAACTTCCTTAGGTAAAATAAAAAAAATAGATCTCCATAAGAATGTGAGAAAATTATCTATAACATAACTTTTAAGAAATGGAGTATAC